CTCCTCCTCCTCCTCCTCCTCTCTCCTCCTCCCCCTCCCGTCATCTTCTTCTCTCCTCCTCCTCCTCCCCCTCCCTTCGTCTTTTTCTCGCCACCTTCTCCTCCTCCTTTCTCCTCCTCCTCGCTAAGTCTTCTTCTTCTTCTTCTTCTTCTTCTTCTTCTTCTTCTTGTTCTTCTTGTACTACTTCTCCTTCTAGGTCTTCTTCTTCTTCTTCTTCTTCTTCTTCTTCTTCTTCTTCTTCTTCTTCCGATATTTGAACTTGGTTTTTCCTTCGCTGGTTGTCCTTGCATCCTCTACTTCCACGACAATATGGCGGGCGGTGCCAGCGACATTGGAGGGGGGAGTGGCGGTTCTGGACGGAGGAGGCGCAAAACGGCAGCAAAAAAAGGAAAAGAAAACGTTGCAAGCACCTCCGCTACACCCACATCCACAATGACCTCCAAAGACCCCACGCCGGCAATGGACCCTTTGCTGTTCGTTCCACAGGACAAGGCGAGGCATGACAAGTTGCAGAAGGAGAAGCCTATGTGGAAGTACGCAGAACTGGGTCAGGAAGTCGGGGAGAAAGGGAGAGGCGAGTATTGGGTGAGGTGTCGGTTGTGCATGCAGATTTGGAGGGGCACGAGCTCAAGAGCGGTGGAACATTACCTGAAGACGCAGAAGCCGTGTCCGTTGCGCACAGCGAAAATGGTGAATGAGCTCGTCAACTCCGGGGGGAAAGTGCTGCCGGGTGATAAGAATACGCGGTACTTGCTGAAGAATTACAGGCAGCTGCACGGGATTCCGGAAAGGGGGGGTCGATCAGACGGAGAAGGCCGACGAGGTGGTTGTAGTTCCCACATGCCTTGAGCCACAGCCACCGCCCACTGCGGGCAGGGCTGCTCCTCCATGTGATGCAGGGGATTTTTTACAAGGAGAATGCTTTGGAGGCGGTGGGGGGTGAGGTGTCGGGGTCGAACACACGGCTGTCCTCATTGCAGCAGTCAACAATAAGGAGGTGGGTGGACAACGATGCGCAAAAGAAACTGGACATTGCATGGGTGGAGACCATGTTTCGTGCTGGGATCTCGTTCAACTTCCTGAACTTCGAAACCACCTAGAAACTCCACGAAGTGTACCTGCAGGTGGCAAAGTCAAGACCGCAGGTGAAACTGCCCTCCTTCAACCACATGAGGACCGCCATGTTGGACATTGTGTACATGCGAGTGCAGAAGACGGTGGAGTCGTTGACGGCTTGTTGGGATGTGAGCGGGTGTACTTTCATCACAGACGGATCGAGCGATCGTCGGGAGCGGCCCGTGATGAACTTCTTGGCAGCTGGGGTGGATGGGGCGGTTTTGGTGGTGACGGTGTCAATGTCCGGGAGGAAGAAGACCGGACCTGCATTGGGGAGCAGATCATGAGGGAAATCGGACTGCGTCGAATCAATGCGATTTGCATTGACAACGCGGAGGTCAACAAAAGGGCGGCTCAAATCCTGGAGCGACGAACGGACAAGGAGGTAGCAAGGATTCCGTGGGTTCCTTGCGCTGCACATTGCTGCAGCCTTCTCTTGCGCGACCTCAGCAAACTCGATTGGGTGAAGCACACTGTTAAGAGGGGCCACACAATCGTCAAGTTCATCAGAAATCACCACAACACAAACAGTCTGATGATGACAGTGGACGATTCGCTGTCTCTTCTTTGGCCCACGGAGGTGCGCTTCGGGTCAGTCTACCAAATGTTGGAGAGGATATACGACAGGGGGTGGTGTTGAAGGACATGGTCAACGGTCGGAATGCAGTGAAGTGGAATGCGATCCGATGGTCCACGTCGAAGTTGAGGGCCAAATCGGATCTAGTGTACTTCACATTGAGGAGTGATGATTGGTGGACGGGGTTGAACAAGGTGGTTGAGGTGATGGAGCCCGTGTTCGGCCTCTTGAGGCGGATGGATCAGGACGGTACCGGTCCCATAAACCTTGTCGAGTATGACGACATGATAGAGAGGAAAATTAGCCATGTCGTTCTTACGGTGGAGCAGCGGGCGAGTGTGATGGAGAAAGTCAAAGATCGCATGAAGATGATGCGGCAGCCCGTCTACGCAGCAGCCTTTCTTTTGGACCCGCGCAGGAGAGAACCGAGGTGGTTGCATGGCCAAGACGGTGCGCTTGTGCAGAATGCCATGCACTTTCTCTTGAGGCAGGTTGGAGGTGAATGGAAAGGACAAACGCACCTTGACATTTGGAGTGACCTGAATGAGTTCCACAACAAACCTACAAGGAACGGCCCGAAAAGGAATGACACGAAGATGTGGGACCCCACAACGAAGGGAGATGTTGACAAGAAGACACCGTCGGAATGGTGGGCAGCACATGGCGGCGACGTGCCTGAATTGCAGAAGATTGCGATCAAGGTTATGGGCATGTGGAGCACCGCATCGCCGGCGGAGAGGAACTGGGCTTCCATGAACTTCATCCATTCCAAACGGAGGAACAAGTTGTCGCCAGAAAGCTTGGCGAAGCTAGTGTACATACACTGGAACATGCAGCTACTGCGTGTTCCGGAGACTAAGAACAGCGGATTTGTGGACTTGTGGTGTGACTTCGTCGAGCCCGCCCCGGAGCCTGAAGAGAACGATGGATCGGTGTCGAAGGGGCCCGAGGATGAGGCTGAGAAGACAGAGGAGGAGCTTGTACGGGAACGGAGGCTCACAAAGACTCCGAAGGGAAGGGTTCCAAAAAATCTCGAGGACAAGGACGAAGAGCTCACGGATGACAGTGATTTGGATGACGAGCTGTGGAAGGGGAAGTGTGGATTGTCGGAGGACTCATGTGGCAGCGAAGAGGATGACGACGATGACTCCGATTTCGAGCTACGACCGGAGCCGTCCATCCCAGGCACGACGTACGTCGGAAGGAGGCGGACCGGATGACAACGCAGAGAAGAGCTATGCCCGGCAGCGATGGAGCCTGGGGTAAGGGAAACTGCGCTGTACAATCCGCAATCTGATGTCGAGTTCGCACGGCTAGACACGGATGTCGAGACGTTGCTGGAAACGAGGGCGGACGAAGATGAGGAGGATGCGAACCGTGCCAAGGCTATGGCTGACCTGGAGACCGAACTCGTCAACAAACGTATGATGGAGGAGGAGGCCCGCCGTGCAGCTATCCCGACTCGGAGAGAGATCGAGAGAGGTCTCAAACAAGCCAGGGAGCACCAACAGCAGATTCAGGCATTGGAGGTTGAGGAGGAAGGAGAAGAGGAGGAGGAGGAGCACCAGGCTGAGGTGGGAGATTACATGGAACAGGAAGAAGAGGCAGAGGGCATGGTGCAACCACAGGAGGGAGAGGAGATGGAGCACCAAGAAGAAGAGGAAGGCACGGTGCAAGGCGGGGAGGAAGAGGAAATGCAACAGGAAGAGTAGGGGGAAGGATTGGCGCAGCAGAAGATGCAGCACGGCGAGGTCGATACGGCCCGCGAAGACGAGCCCCATCCCACAGCAACAGCAGTCTACACACGCAGGCCCCGGCCAGCGGAGTTTCCGGAGTCCGAGGAGAAGATACCGGAATTCCCCGCAATGAGGGAGGATGTCCAGCATGACAACCTGTGGGTAAGCCGAGTGGGCAGGAAGAGAAAGGAGCCATCACAGGACGCTCCTGCACAGCCGAAACGTCCTCGTGGCAGACCGCGAAAGCAGAAGACCGACACGGCCACTACACCGGTTAAAAAAAAGAAACAGCGTCTCAAGCGCAAGACGGTCGTGGAGGATGACCCGGAATCAGCTGACTGCAGCGAACAGCCATCTGAGGATGAGGGCTGCGACGCTGATTCCAAATGAGATCAGCATGTCCACAAGTGTGTGTGACACTGTGTGTGTGTGTGTGTGTGTCTGTGAGAGAGAGAGAGAGAGAGAGAGAGAGAGAGAGAGAG